CTTTTTTAAAAAAACTGGTCTGTAGTATATTTCAACTGTGTCTCAACTCTGAAAGAAACAAAGCTTTTTGCTTAATTTATCACAATTTTCCCACTTTTTTCCCCCTTCAATATTACATAGTACTTGGAAGATTCTTTTGGTTCAATGGCTTCACTACAAAATAGGATTTAAAATGTACCCCTTGTCAACTTCAGGATGCAAGCATAACAGTAAATACATACATTAATTTAGTGGTACACCAAGCTTAACAAAGTAGATTAAGCATGAGAAGTTGCAATACTTGAAAGTGAGAGTGTTCATTGCTCCGCCCTGTCGACTGTTCCTGATCCCATGGACTGTAGCCCACCAGCCTCCTATCTATGGAATTCTCCAGGCAAGAATACTGGAGTGGGTTGCCATTCCCTTCTCCAGGGGATCTTCCGGACCTAGGGATCGAACCCACATCTCCTGCATTGCAGGCAGATTCTTTACAGGCTAAGCCACCAAGGAAGCTCAAGTCACAATGCTTGAGGATACCGCTCGGGGTCTCTCGAGGCAGCAGCAGCGCAGGGTGGTTCAGTCCCGGGGTCAGGATTCTAACCCTGCACTTCCCAGCAGTACCACCTCAAGCAGCACTTAGCTTCTGGCCTAACCCCCACCTGTAAGATGCAGATAACCTTACAGCAGAGTAACAAAGCAAAGGCCAGGAAGTCATGTAAGCCTCGTCTCACAAAGTTTTCAGTGTCATATCAATGGGTAAATTCTTATTTGGCATCTGTGTGTTTAGCATTGTGTCTGGGGAGCGGGGAGGAAGACATGTTCCAGGGAAATGAACAAGACAGTAATACAGGAGATGCCACATTTAACTCCATGGTGATGACCAGAAAGAAAATATTACAAATAACAGTTCACTGAACAGTTAACTGAACACCACTGAGACTTCAATTAAGAACTGTGACCCTTGGTCCACTGAGCTAGTTTTTTCCAACAAAGACTATGTAGAAAAGTCTGTATTTTTAAGACCCAAAAAAAAAAAAAGGGAGGGACAGGCCCTATTTGAACTTTGATACCCTCAATGATTCAGAATTCATGGCTTCAAAGACCATACCAGCCTTTCATAACAAATGAGATTACTGTCTATACACTTTTAAAAACCTATTTATATGTTCAGTCCATACAACTTGAGTTAATGAACTGTTTTCCTTTAATTAGTCCTTAAACATATACAAAGTTTTAAGAGAGCTATATATTTATTTGAGTGTTCTAGAATTGAGTCCACTATGACGTACAGGTACAATCCCACTACCCACATCACTATCAGAAACCACAGCCCTGGGAAGTAAGTGACAAGCTCGAGGCTGCACAGAGGTGGGTACCAACTCCAAACCTCTCCACCCCTGGGCCCTGCTGCCTTCCCTAGAGACTCCTACCTCACCATCTCACTCATGACTTAAAGCTCTCAATTATATTGCCTCTGAGGCCTCGTCTTTCCAGATCAAGGTGAAATCTCTTTAGTCTCTCATCATGCACCTGCTCCCTAGTGATTATTTCAAATGTCCTCTGGTTCTATTTTATCTTTTCATAGAAGTGATCAGGTGTAAATGCATCATAATTTGATACAAGAATCAAAAACGGTTACTCTTTTGTTTCCAACACCCAACCAGATCATACTTTATGGCAGCACCTGTAGCTGTTGACCCTGACTCTCAGGCCTTTAACCTACTTATAACCAGTAGTCTAGAACCCAATAAGATATTGATACAGAGCTCACAGAAATACAACTGATTTTCAAAAAGGCATAAGGCAGCTACTAAAAGGTTCCTTTGCCAAGGAAAATGATATTTCAAAAAATACAAATCTGCAAGTGCATGGAACCAAAAGCTAGAAATGACAGGAATCAAGTAGACCAGTAAGAAAAGTATCGTTGAAATAATCGGCTCATGTGATGGCAATGAACTTTTTCAGAAACTCTACCAATAGATCCAACACTTGATCAAGCCACACCCTTTTAGAAAACAAACTTGGGATGATAATATACAAACTGCCACAGCACTACCAGTAATCCTGACAGAAGACATAACTATACCGCTTAACTGGCAACCAGAGGCACACCTTCCTATTAAAACCTGGCAATCTCAGGAAAGAGGGAAAAAAAGAAAAATTCTATCAAAATTTGAGGCTTTCTCAAATGAGCTTAATTTAAGTCCAATTAATAAATGTTAAGACACACCCTCGGTTAACAGGCACAGATTTGTTTAAATCAATCTCCCTAGGGGCAAGCTAAATCAGGAGTCAGCATTATTAGAATCTGTGTGAACAACTGTGTGCAGGTGTTCACATTACCAACGGAAGAATTAATGCAATCCACCTGTTAAGAGAAATGGCCAGAACTTCGTGAGTTATTGGTTTTTTAATGAGTGGCATGTATATGGGGATGCTAATATACAAAGCACTGACACCGTGGATTGAAAAATAGTGTTCACTGTTTTTTTTATTTGCCACGCCATGCAGCATGTAGGATCTTAGCTCCCCAACCAGGGATGGAAGGCAGGCCACCTGCAATGGAAGGGCAGTGTCTTAACCACTGGACCGGCACGGAAGCCCTACGTGTTCACCTTTAATATGAGTAGGTAACTTCCGTCATCCATCATTGAAAGCAGAAGTCAAAGTCAGAGGAAGCACTGTATCATAGGCGTCACATCACACTGTCTGGGTCCTCCTGCCTCGTAACCTCTCAGAAGGAAATCCTGTAGTGTAACTAGCAGACAACCAATGACACACAACACTCCCTCCAGCCCTGAACGAAGTGCATGTGGCACAAATCTGTTCAACGTGTGTTTTCATTTGGCACAGAGAAAAAACTGCAAACCATTCTGCACTGTCTCATAAAGAGACTTTTAAATTGATTATACCAGTTTTTCTACCATAAAATACTCTATTAATATTAAAAAGTTAACATCAAAAGTTGACGACACACCCATACACAAAGGTGAGCACACACCAGAAGGAGCACTACGGCAATCTGCCTTTTTGAAATAACTTTTCCAGCTGCTGCAAGAACTGCAACAAAAAAAGCTCTGCAGTAACCAAGTTAGTCTGAACAAACATATCATCCCAAAACCAAACAAAGCATACCCCAGGAAAAAGTCAAAAGGGGTGAAATTCGAAGCTGAAGATGCTCTACTGAGAACAGACTAGTCACCCATTCCTCAAGGAGGTCAATCCCAGACACAGAATATTCTTGTCAAACATCACTGGCTACGAGACGTCAAAACAGACTTCACGTGAAGAAGTGTAGGCATGCTACTTGATTAGAAAGAAAACAAAAGGAGCTGTTAATGAAAGACTGTGCCAAAATGAACAATCGTGAAAAGCACTGCAAGAAACAAGTGAGCCTGAGAGGAATAACAATTTGCTCCAAAATAGCTTAGTATTACCAAAGTATAATTTAATACGTAATGATGGGGAAATACAAAACACAATTATCACCTTTGTATGTTTAAAATAAGCTTTCTAAGCATCATTTAAGATTTCAAGATGAGTGGTCTCAGATTAAATGTCAAAATAAACTCGTTTAACACACCACTTTCATTTTTTTTACTTGAATAGGTGAAATAATTTTACTAAAATTCCTCATCCATGTATTTGAGCAACCGTCAGGAATGTGTTCGTATTTACATGTCGTGCCAGTAGTGATCATACTTGGATGTATGTATACATGTACACGTATGCACATATACACAGATATATATATATTTTTTTCACAGATATATTTTTTAACCTCTTAAATCTATTTAAGAGTATTCTCAATTCATAAACATGGTATTTTGTGTGTGCATTTGTGTGAGTATTACACACACACACAGACACACACACACAGACACACACACACACACTCACTCACTCACTCACTTTTCCCATGGGTAATGAATCAAACCTACTTGATGTCAGAAAACAGGAAATCCTTCCTAACACACTCTGATGGTTAAATGGCAGATGACAACTACTCCAACACCTATGTGTAGTCCCTGAAAATGCTTCAACGAACCCACAAACGCTGCTCTCCAAGCCACTGAGTATAACATGTTTATGTTCTCGTCTAGAAATGGGACAGTTTATAAGAAAAGTTAGCAAATTTGTTTTTAAGAAAATTCCACTGGTATCAAGAGCCACAGACCCTGTCCTGAGCTTACTGGGTCATCCAAACTAATGACAGGGACAGCATGACCACAGGATTCATCATCAAACTGAAAACCTTTCATCGTTCGGACCAAGAATTCTCAATCCTGCACTTGTGACATTTTGGGCCAGTTAATTCTTTGCAGTGTGGGCTGCCCTGTGTATTACAGAATGTTTAGTAGCACCCCTGGTCTCTGCCCATTAAATGTCAGTAGCACCCCCTTCCCCGGTTTGACAACCAAAAACGTCCCCAGACACTGCCAAATGTCCCCTAGGGGGACACACTCTGATCTAGGAGCCTGACAACTGACCACACTGTCTGCTTCCGAAAGCGAGTCAATTCTGCAACAACAAGGGCGGTTCCAAGAACACTACAGGCATCCCCAGTGGTGCCTTTGTATGACACTTCCCCGGGATCCCAACAAAGTAACTAAATCCTGGTTCACTGTCATAGATGGCTCCTTTCTTCCACGTGTGCGTGATTAAACACTTTGCGATGATGAATCTGGGACGGACTTGGGACGGCGGCCAACAGCGGCTGGTTTTATAGTTTCGATGAATTGCACCTTCTTTTAACCCTTTGGTGGACCAGTCAGCCCTGGCGGAGCAACCCTGTCTTTCCCGCCGCAAACCATCACTCCGCGGGGCCCTACCCCGTGGAGATGCCCTCCGAGGCGCTCGCACCATTCGGACGCTGTGACTGTCACGGCACTGGGGGGTTGGGGGGGTCAGCTCTCAGCCAAGGGCCCGGGCCCCTCTGCTCTCCTGCTGACACCCCCCTACCCAGGTCAGCGCTCGACCCCCCGACCCCGGGCTGACCCCGCCGCCCCCCAAGGCGGTACCTGAAGTAGTAGACATCGCTCTTGCCGGCGCTGAGCCCAGATTTTCGGATCACTTCCTCCTTCTTCCATCCGGGGGGGAGGGCCGGGCAGTCCATCCTCTTCCCGCTCTCCGCGGCCCGGGGTCCCCGGGGCCCTGGCCCCGCGCTCCCCGACGGGAAAGGGACCGGCTCCCGCCGGGGGGCGCCGCCGCCGCCTCCTCCTCCTCCGCCGCCGCCGCCGCCGTCGCCGCCAAGGCCGCCGCCGCCGCTCGGGGGACGGCCGCGGCCCCGGCCCCGGCCCCGGCCCCGTCCCCGGCCACGGCCCCGGCCCCGGCCACGGCCACAGACGCCGCCGCCGCCGCCGCCCCGGCCCGCCGGCTTCCACCGCCCCCGGCCACGGCCGCCGCCCCGCGCGCCCTCCCTGCGCGCGCCGCTCACCGGGGACGGGGCGAGCGCGCAGCCCGGGCCCCCCTGCTCGATGGCGGAGCCGCCGCCAGCGCCGCTGCCGCCCGCCGCACTCTCCCCCTCCTCCTGCTCCGGGCAGCAGCGGCCTCCCCCCGGGTGCGCGCGCATCCAGCCCCCTCCCCAGCCGGCGCTGCGCTTCTTCCGTAACCGAGCCCTTGGAATCCCGGAGACCCGCCCCGCCCGCGGCGCGGCGCGCGGGGGACGCGCGCAAGCATCATAGAGCGGGCGCGCACAGAGCGGCCCTCCCGCCGGGGGGCGGGGCCTCCGCCACCTCCTCTCAGGTCCTCCGAGCGGCCCGGGCGGCCATCTTGTCCCCGCCTCCTAGAGGACACGCCCCCGCCCGCGGCCCCGCCCACCGCGCCTCCGGCCGCGCCCTTCCGGCCCCCCGCCCCGACGCGGCGCGCGGTCTAGGCCCGGGGCTGCGGGCGGAGAGGTGTCAGGAGGCCTGCGGTTCCTTTGTTTCGAGTTGCGTTACCCTCGGTCACGGTGCAGTCTTACCTACGTCTGCGTCCCAGTTAATGAGCAACAAACAAAGTGTATCTCTTATTTTATATTTACCACCTCGACTGTTCATTTAATGAACAAGAGATACCTTTTCCTGCCTCGGCGTCATAGCTTGCCAGGGAGCTCAGGTTGATGGCGTGAGTTTAAGTGTCCTCGTAGCGGAGTATCACTAGCCTCCAGAGTCGGCTTTCAGAACTTTAGAATTCTGGATTGATGATCATCCCAGAACTTTGTAAGGCCATAGGAAGGAAAATAACAGCCCAAAAAGTTCCCTCCGGTTCTATAGGATTTTTACCTCTAACGTCCCCATAAAATGACCAGAATTCCTGAATCCACCTAGAATTGACCAAACTTCTTAGGATCTTTTCTTACACTTATAATTCGTTTTCTAATGACCTTTGACAAATATCCATGGCCTTTGGCGTCGTTAATGCACCCTGGTGCTGAAAGACCCTTTTAACCTAATCACTAGCCTTAAGGAATCTGCGTGGAATTCACTTGCACCTGCCAGCTCATTGTTCAGGAGTGATTTTTAAAGACTAATACCAAATTGATTAAGAAAACTGATTTCCATTTCAGAAGAGCACAACTTCTGTTTGTTTAACCTTTTAAATACATTATGAAACGTTGGGTTACTGAAAAGAGTGTTAGGCTATCTTCAGATTTTGAACATACGGACCTAAAAGTTGACCAAGTTTAATGGATAGAAAAAAACTGATGAACATGAAGTAGTGGAAAATCTATATTTATTTGATTTGCTTTTGCAATTTATTAAGACAAACATCAGCTCAAACACACAAACTTGCCTCTGAGTCTGACCTTAGACTGCTTTTAATGTCTTTGAGTTGAGATACATTAAGCTATAGCTTCTTCCAAGAAATCTGTCTAGAACTGTGTCTAGCAAAGAGTTGGAAAGTCAAGTTCTCAGGAGAGAGGTCAGTTCTGAAGATAGGCATTTAGAAGTCAACTTGTGAAAGTGATCATTGAAGGGAACCCTGCAAGTAAATAAGATCTCCAAGGAAGAGCATGCATGGTAAATTAATTAATTAATTTAAAATTTAAAGATCATTTAAAGAAAAGAAAGAGGAACCAAGAACTGAGTCATAAGGAGCACATACATTTATGGCTCAGGTGAAGGAGTTAAAGTCAGAGATTTATGAGATCAAAATTTGGATAACAGGGAATCCCCCGGCAGTCCGGTGGTTAGAATTTTACTTTCACTGCTAGGGGACAGGATTTGATTCCCAATCGTGAACCTAAGATCCCCAAGCCGTGTGGTGCAACCAAAAAAAAATTTTGGTTAACAAACACCCTGTAGGAGGAAGGGGTTGACTTTCACACTTAGTTGTTGAGATAACAGATGGGAAAAGATAGACTTTTGGAAATTTTTTCCTTTCCGTGCGGTGTCTAACAAGGCTGTAGATCGAATGATGCAATGGATGTAAAAACATGTCTAAAAGACTAAATCACTATCAATTTAAGTTAATTGCTTTGACTTCTACTACCAGATTGTATTTGCTAAATCCCACTAGATAAAGTGGGGTGCTCCCTTAGTTAAAAAACTCATCTAGGGCATTTAAAAAGCTTTTCTGGTCAAACTTGAATTTTTCTCCTGTGATACCATAAGCCAAAGGATAAAAACAAAAAAAAAGCACTAAATTATTCTACCACTAAAGGAAGAAAATTATCTAAGAAAACATTAAATTCTCACAGGGACTAGATTGACACCTAAAAGTATTGAGGATAAATGCTTAGCACCTAAGACATAGATCCTTCTGTTTTCCTTAAAATACTGGACAAATAATAACCCTTTTATAACCCTGGGAGAATGCATTTTCTATCACCCTTTGAAAAATAGCAACATTGTTTTTCTGAGGCAAGAAAGCTGTAACCAAATTTTTCAATTTTAGTCTCTCTCACAGTGGAAAAGGTCTTGCTAACTTCACCTTATGGAAAAAGTGAAAGACGACACCAGAGAGGATTATGTATGAAATCTGGCCAATTAAGCAAACAACTGAGATTTAACCACCTCGGATCTCTTACCCTCAGGTGTAGAAGCAGATGTTGAAACACCAACTGTCACCCTTGAAAGACTACCTATTCTTTAAAATATTTTCCTTGCATTATTTCCGGGGAGAGTTGAGGTTAAGCCACTACAGTAATGTAGTTTTCAAAAAAATAGGTGTTAGTTTGGATTTTTATTGAGAAAAATGGAACAAATTCAGGGAATGAAACTTCTGAGAGTGTGAAGTAGTGGCTAGTTTTAAAGAAAGAAAGAAAGTGAAGTCGCTCAGTCGCGTCTGACTCTTTGCGACCGATGGACTGTAGCCTACTAGGCTCCTCCATCCATGGGATTTTCCAGGCAAGGGTACTGGAGTGGGGTGCCATTTCCTTCTCCAGGGGATCTTCCCCACCCAGGGATCAAAGCCGGGTCTCCCACATTGTAGGCAAACACTTTACCGTCTGAGCCGCCGTGAAGTCAGCAAGCTAGTTTTAAGATTTGTGTATTTCTTAAAGATATATAACCTGCAGGCTTCCCAGGTTGCTCAGTGGGTAAAGAGTCCACTCGCAGTGCAGGAGATGCAGGAGACTCGAGTTTGATCCCTGCATCAGGAAGGTACCTTGGAGGAGAGCATGGCAGTCCACTCCAGCTTTTACTGGAGAATCCCATGGACGAAGGAACCTGGCAGGCTACAATCCATAAGGTTGCAAAGAGTTGGCCATGACTGAAGTAACTGCGCGCACACACACACATATAACTTGCATTTGAATTTTTGATTGTGATAAGATACTCAGGAAAAGAAGGATTTAAATATTGGAAATCTTCTTGTTTCTAATGAGCATATTTGCATCAGGTGATAACAGGGGCATTGCTTTCCCTCTCTTAACAGAGTCCAAGCAGTAGGGTCAGAATTTATCAAGACGTTAAATACAAGTGAGGGCATAGCCAAAAACCATTTTCCAGCTCCAATTAGCAGGTTTTATGATTCACTGAGTTGGCCCAACTACTGTTCACCTAATTCCCAACTAAAACGAAATGCTGCTGGCATGGTACATCAGGTTGCCAAAGGACACTTTCAAGTACATGCAGTATAAATAAAGGGTTTTTTATTATTACTATTACCTGCCACTTGGAATGACTACAGAGGAATCTTATACTGCATAGTTCAAACTCAAAAGAGAAGGGTTAATTACTTGAAAGGCAAGAGAAAACAAGGAGAAGTAAGTTTTGTACCAAGGGAAATTATTTCAGAAGATCGTGTCTTGTATTTTTTGAAATTTTCTATGGGTTGTTACATTAGCCATAGGTAAGTAGCTGGTATTAAGTGTTTAGGATTAAGGGGTGGGGAGGTGCTTATTTAACTTCCTAAAAATAGAAAATGCAGTACTAAGAATAGAAAGAAAACCTCATTTAGGTTTCAGACACCTAAGATGGCATTTAACACACTCAACAATGAGGTTTTTTAACTTAATCCTGGCTGCGAATCACGCTCAAGCCTGAGTTCCCAAAGGGCAGCAGCCGCAAGCTCGTACCCTTGCCTGCATTGTGCACCCCAAGTTCCAGAAACCTGCTCGTGCCCACATTGCCAAACATCCCAGGCTCTGTCGGCCAAAGCCCCGGGCCAAGGCTCAAACCCAAGCAAGCTTCAGCTCAGGCTCCAGTTCAGGCTTCCACAGGTGCCCACGTCCCCACAAAGCCTCCAGAGTCAAGGCCTTTGTCTGCCACGTGAGGACAGGAGGGCTGGTGTGACCGCTGGGCTGCCGTGTTTAAGGCACGGGGGTCCTCCTGCGCTATTGGTGCAAATAAACCTGAGGCAGAATCTGTCCAAACAAACGAAAGACACCAGAATGCCAGGACAGGTGGTCCAGAGGCCGAGAAGTGGAAATTGAATACATCAGAACATGCATCTCGCCAGGAGATCTTGCTGTGTAAGTGGCTTTCCCCATGTCTCTACGTATATCTCAGATGTAACAGAGCTAGCCTGGAATCCAGGCCTCCGGACTCCAGGTTTAGAGCTCTGTCTCCTTAACTGCTTTCGAACTGCCCCATTGTCTCTGATTTTCTCACCCCGAAACTTGTCCTACTTCAGAGTGGAAACCTTTGCTTCCACCCTCTCCCCACCCCAGCACCGTTCCCTGGCTCATTCCTGTTTATCCTTGGGTCTCACCTGAGACACGCTCACCCCCAGAGCTTCTCTGACCTCCCCGGGCCCTCCTCTCCTGCGCTCCCCTGGGTGTATGCTGGATGCCACACTGCCATTAGGTATTTGCCCCATCCATTTGGTGACCTTTATTATAGTTGGTTATTTCATTGTCTTTCTTCCACTACCATCCTAAATGGCTGTTCTTCATGTTTACCATTGCATCTGCAATGCCTCTGACTGGGCTTACCTGGAACATGGGAGAGGTTATTAGATACTTGATGAATAAATCAAATTAACACACTTTGCAAAAATTGTGTACTCTCAAAATATACAAGTGGCATCTTTTCTTCTCAATGGATGCATATAATCACATGAATTCTGTAAAATCAGAATACTGACAACTGTTCTTACCTTACAAAATTTGAATAGGCTTCCGTGTCCCAAGAGTTATTTAACAAT